ATCTCAAGTAAAACTCTAACCATTTCAGTCATCCTACCAGATGTCTTTATCTTTGTCATCTTCATCCTATACAACTCAAAATGCAGTCATGGTTTACTCACTGAGTTGTTTCATATCACATCACACATTACTGTACAGTTTGTAAGTATTGTTAGTTTACGAGTAAAGGTGAGTATAAGATAATTCTGAAAGACTGTCAACCTGTGTATATAATACCATAAAGTTGGCATCTTCACACTGATATATTAGAATGCAGAGAGAGAGAAAGAGATTTTCGATTGTCGATTTACCAATCCTTCTGTTCACTTGTGTTGTCCAACATCCTAGTTATGTTTGGACTTAGATATAAACTAGTTCACAAAATGCAGTGGTGAGGGTTACTCATTGGACGGTAGGTTGTGCAAGTAAAATTCTAGATACTGGCCTTTATCTCACCTCTAATCAACAATACCCACCTAATAAGTAGAGTATTCTTAACAATACTTCAGAATTACACATCCTTTCCATCTGAAAAGTAACATTTATCAGTCGACAAGCAAGAATGACAACTTCTTTAGAACTAGTTTTTCACATAACTTCAGCCTGCACAACTTCAGCTCTGAAATCATTAATTGTCTGTGAGCATGGAAAATATGTTACCAAGACTAACTAAAAAGATACGTAGGCAAATTTATACATTAAAACAGTAACCTCTCCGAATGATTTTGGATAAGTGATGGTGAACGCGAGATAATATCAACCAGACTTTTGTTTACACTGAGACTAATTAGCATGAAATATATTTAGCCTAACAGAAGGGTCTCCTGGATGAGACTTCATCAGAGAGACCGCGTTTCGAGTATCATACTGTTGAATACTGATGATGGCAATTAATATTTCCACGTGTTAATTTCATGCAGTAAATGTCGACTACTCAATAAAAGACAGTAACATGATGTCGGGTGTATGGACAAAATGAAGGTAGAAGCTGACACAAGAATGCATCTATTCAAGTCTCCACACTTCACAGTAGCAGATAAGGAACAAGTCAACAGAAAAGACTGACATCAATGTAGGCAAATTGTGTAGGAGGGGAGGCAAATTGAAGACGGATGATGAAAATGTTCAAGAATTCGAAGATAACAAAGAGTGAACATATTTGGACCATTGTGACCGATTTTTGGCCGCGCCAATGAAGGTCACTAACCATTGAAACCTATCATCTTGAAGACTCCAAAAAGGGAGTCTTCACCTTCATACACTGCTCAGACCAAAAATCAGAGACTTCATGGATTGAAGCCATGTCTTGGTATGGCCACCCTGAATCTTCTTCCAACCCAGTCCAACTTCGGCTAACATTGCACTATGAGGTAGGCAGTGACTCGGCATCGGCAACACATGTTCAAGACACCTCAGTTGAGGGAGATTTACAACTCGTTATTTAGATGGCCAGATCGAGCTATAACAGTGAGATCATGGTTTGACTTTTGATACATAAAAATAGAAACAGACATGTTACTCACTAACACAACAATTGAGTGAAGTGTTCAGTAATTGAAATAGGGATGAAATGTAGTTAGCAGACAAGTGCTCTTTCTAAACCTGACAGACAGTCAATCAGATATACATAGGCTGCTGGATTATATCCAGTTACAGTTTCATTTGTTAAACTACACGGACTACCAACATGAAAACATTACTGCTATTAACAGTGAACTATCTTTGCTGAGCTTCACTCCAAAACTGTTAGGCGGCAAACGTGAGAACTGAAACTAGTGAAAATGTTGTTTGACAAATAGATAGCCATCACAAGACCACTGCATCAAAGTCTCATAAACCAACTAGGAAAGTTGACTAGGTTGTTGGGAAATAGTTTACGTGTGAAGTGAAGGAACATAAAATCAAGTTAGTCCACTGAGAATTCTTATTTTATTACCTTCATTATTCCAGTTCACAACATTCTCATTATTTGCGTTTAATTGTAGCGTGGAGATTTTTAGGCGTATACCATTTGCAAGACATTTATTTAAAGTTGAGCATATACTCAAAAGACACAAAGCTGTTCGACGGGAAATTGACAGCAATACAGGTGAACTGTCAAATACAAATTCGCTGTTTGGACTACTAACCAATGATGCGAAATTGAATTTAACAAGTAAATTTATTGTGGTATTATTTACTATCTGTAACCGTAGTATAGCTGATTTTTGTAAACCTTTTAAAAGCTTTGCAAGGCATCATTTATATGACTATTCTTTTGACTATCGACTGTCAGATGATGCGGTAATATCAGCATCGTTGATGTCGTCAGTAGTCGCTCCATGAAGTTCATTTGTTTACCAGAAGAAATATTTTTGAAAGACAGAGTTGGAAACCCTACAAACTTTCACTCCTTTTTTCGAAGTTTAGGAGTTAATATATTCAACAGCAGATATGGACTTAGTATTCGAAAATTTCAGTATTGTCTTCTTTGTCAGGTGAGTAACAATTAACGTGTCTCTGTATGTGAAAATCAGTTTTGACTGAATTTCACATTCTAACGGGTGAAAAACAGGAAGGTAGATTTTCATGGTTAATTTCCCTGTCTGTGATTCTTATGATAGTGATGATCAAAAGATTACGAAAAGTTTTCATTATTTCATCGGGCAGTTTTGCATTATCTTCACTAGAATTAGTGTCTTTTGGCTTCAAATGTGGTTGGATTTTACAGGCTTATTGATGACTCATGTAGGTAGGTGACATTTGAGAAGTGTAACATATTGACATGTATTCAGTGTAGCTGCCTAATTCTTGATGCTCATCACTGATGTTTGTGCTGATAGTGTTGTCTATAGTGACAAAGAGAGCTTCAGGATTAAACAATCCATGTCGGAGAACACAACACTGTCAGTATGTGGATTAAGTGTGCCATGCAGCAACCAAGGTGATTAGCTTACCAAACAGTGAAGGTTCGAATCATGTAGGGAACACAAGTGTCCTAGTGGTTATGGTAACGCTTTGCTGATCAGTGAAAAAGTACGAAATCAGGGTTCTAAGTTTCCTGCTGCTGCTTCTTGTGCCAAAAATTTCACATAGAAATATTGATATGTTAAGTCAGTTTTCGGACAGATCGACAGGGGCAGGTGCACCAACTGAAAACGAGGTATTTCACTCATTTTAACATTTAATGTGAATGACTCACCACTTCGAAAAGGATTTTCAGGATAAACACTTCTCAGTTCAACTGAATTCACTTATTTACTATTAGAATTTCAAAATGGTGTTTCCAATGGGATTTTGTGGTATTTTCGATGGTTGGAGGCAGTCGGCCAGAAGCACTGCACCTAGGTTTCGTGATTGGATAGCACTCGTCAGTGAGACGGGTCCGTAACCTCAGACGAACTGACGTCTCATCCGAGATACGAACACACGTCATCTAGTGTCCAAGTCAGTGATACTACCACTGAGATATTCAAGCTGTGACTGAGTCCCTTTAACATTGACTAGTGATAACCTCCATAAATTTAACATTTTTCAAAATGGACAGTGATGCTGAGTCCTCCAAACTGGAGGCCATGTTACAAAACTGACTGGTAGAATTCGGTTAGCACTCAAGACTAGACAATATGAAATTAGTCACCCTTCAGGATGAATTTGATTTGCCAGTGTCATTGGAATTAACGACTATCAGTATAATCTTTTTCAATAATTAATCAACAAACTCGTTTCAGACACTGAGTTGTCTTAGCTTAACATTTTGAGACTTAAATATCGTTGTTGAATATTCTAACCTCACTTGGGAAATAAAATAATTTATCCAGTGAATTTAATGGTTATGAATTGTACTGCATATCTCATTGTACTTCACACTATCTAATTATGTAACAATCGGTTGTCTAAACTCCTGTTATTTTTCTACATATGAAAATCAATTCCGAAGAGAGTGAAATTTCACGTCTTTCATATGAATTAATGGCAGCTGGCACAGATACAACATCCTTGACACTTACTTGGGCATGTGATTATCTATCAAGAGCTCCACCACAAGACCCATTCAATTTGAGTCCCGATGTCATTGATATGGTGCATCGTTGGGCGAGTGTAGTTCCATTGGCACTACCTCATTTGGTGCATGAATCATTTGAAATCAATGGATATTGCATACCGAAATCGTCTATTCTGATATATAATCTTTATGCTGTGCACAACACACAACTGAGGAGATTGACTAATAAGGAGACGAAGCCGAAAGATACGAAACAGAGTGATACGCCGATCCCATTTTCCCTCGGTAAGTTATATCATACAACCTAAGAAATTGATTGCATTTTGAAAGGTTGATAGAGTAGAGAATTCCTCTATACTCAATGGTTGTTTTCATTATATGTCGACACAATCATGTGAAGACCTTGAGAACTGAAAGGCTGTTTGAACTTTGTTTGGAAATCTGCAAGACATTATGCATAACCACTTGGCAAGTCAGAGATACTGTCATCAGTGGTAGAAGGATTCGTGCAGTTGTTGAAGTCGTCAGCCTAGAATGGTTCATTATTCTTTTTTGTGTGTTGCACGCTCTTTACTTTAAACTCAGATAGATGAAGTGGTTTTCTTCATTCATTCACAGGTGCTAGAGCATGCCCTGGTTTTCGTTTGGCAAATACATTAATTGAAAAAGTTCTGACGGCAATCAATCAAGAGTTTATAATTCAACACTTTGTGCAACCGCCAATTGAAACAACCAATCCAAAGGATCAAGAAAGTCTCTCACCCTTTGGATTAACAAGAGTTCCATACAAATCTTTATATCTATTTTTCACTCGGACAAATGGACCGAGAAGAACAAGTAACTGAAGGAAATGTCTAATAATATACTTGAACAAGATGCCTCTCCTTTTGTGTGTTGAGAAGGAGAGTGAAATGTGACTGTTTTCATGAGTTTCTCATTGTTTATATATACATATGTATATATATATATATATATATATATATATATATATATATATATATATATATATATATATACATATGTATATATAAACAATGAGAAACTCATGAAAACAGTCACATTTCACTCTCCTTCTCAACACACAAAAGGAGAGGCATCTTGTTCAAGTATATTATTAGACATTTCCTTCAGTTACTTGTTCTTCTCGGTCCATTTGTCCGAGTGAAAAATAGATATAAAGATTTGTATGGAACTCTTGTTAATCCAAAGGGTGAGAGACTTTCTTGATCCTTTGGATTGGTTGTTTCAATTGGCGGTTGCACAAAGTGTTGAATTATAAACTCTTGATTGATTGCCGTCAGAACTTTTTCAATTAATGTATTTGCCAAACGAAAACCAGGGCATGCTCTAGCACCTGTGAATGAATGAAGAAAACCACTTCATCTATCTGAGTTTAAAGTAAAGAGCGTGCAACACACAAAAAAGAATAATGAACCATTCTAGGCTGACGACTTCAACAACTGCACGAATCCTTCTACCACTGATGACAGTATCTCTGACTTGCCAAGTGGTTATGCATAATGTCTTGCAGATTTCCAAACAAAGTTCAAACAGCCTTTCAGTTCTCAAGGTCTTCACATGATTGTGTCGACATATAATGAAAACAACCATTGAGTATAGAGGAATTCTCTACTCTATCAACCTTTCAAAATGCAATCAATTTCTTAGGTTGTATGATATAACTTACCGAGGGAAAATGGGATCGGCGTATCACTCTGTTTCGTATCTTTCGGCTTCGTCTCCTTATTAGTCAATCTCCTCAGTTGTGTGTTGTGCACAGCATAAAGATTATATATCAGAATAGACGATTTCGGTATGCAATATCCATTGATTTCAAATGATTCATGCACCAAATGAGGTAGTGCCAATGGAACTACACTCGCCCAACGATGCACCATATCAATGACATCGGGACTCAAATTGAATGGGTCTTGTGGTGGAGCTCTTGATAGATAATCACATGCCCAAGTAAGTGTCAAGGATGTTGTATCTGTGCCAGCTGCCATTAATTCATATGAAAGACGTGAAATTTCACTCTCTTCGGAATTGATTTTCATATGTAGAAAAATAACAGGAGTTTAGACAACCGATTGTTACATAATTAGATAGTGTGAAGTACAATGAGATATGCAGTACAATTCATAACCATTAAATTCACTGATAAATTATTTTATTTCCCAAGTGAGGTTAGAATATTCAACAACGATATTTAAGTCTCAAAATGTTAAGCTAAGACAACTCAGTGTCTGAAACGAGTTTGTTGATTAATTATTGAAAAAGATTATACTGATAGTCGTTAATTCCAATGACACTGGCAAATCAAATTCATCCTGAAGGGTGACTAATTTCATATTGTCTAGTCTTGAGTGCTAACCGAATTCTACCAGTCAGTTTTGTAACATGGCCTCCAGTTTGGAGGACTCAGCATCACTGTCCATTTTGAAAAATGTTAAATTTATGGAGGTTATCACTAGTCAATGTTAAAGGGACTCAGTCACAGCTTGAATATCTCAGTGGTAGTATCACTGACTTGGACACTAGATGACGTGTGTTCGTATCTCGGATGAGACGTCAGTTCGTCTGAGGTTACGGACCCGTCTCACTGACGAGTGCTATCCAATCACGAAACCTAGGTGCAGTGCTTCTGGCCGACTGCCTCCAACCATCGAAAATACCACAAAATCCCATTGGAAACACCATTTTGAAATTCTAATAGTAAATAAGTGAATTCAGTTGAACTGAGAAGTGTTTATCCTGAAAATCCTTTTCGAAGTGGTGAGTCATTCACATTAAATGTTAAAATGAGTGAAATACCTCGTTTTCAGTTGGTGCACCTGCCCCTGTCGATCTGTCCGAAAACTGACTTAACATATCAATATTTCTATGTGAAATTTTTGGCACAAGAAGCAGCAGCAGGAAACTTAGAACCCTGATTTCGTACTTTTTCACTGATCAGCAAAGCGTTACCATAACCACTAGGACACTTGTGTTCCCTACATGATTCGAACCTTCACTGTTTGGTAAGCTAATCACCTTGGTTGCTGCATGGCACACTTAATCCACATACTGACAGTGTTGTGTTCTCCGACATGGATTGTTTAATCCTGAGCTCTCTTTGTCACTATAGACAACACTATCAGCACAAACATCAGTGATGAGCATCAAGAATTAGGCAGCTACACTGAATACATGTCAATATGTTACACTTCTCAAATGTCATCTACCTACATGAGTCATCAATAAGCCTGTAAAATCCAACCACATTTGAAGCCAAAAGACACTAATTCTAGTGAAGATAATGCAAAACTGCCCGATGAAATAATGAAAACTTTTCGTAATCTTTTGATCATCACTATCATAAGAATCACAGACAGGGAAATTAACCATGAAAATCTACCTTCCTGTTTTTCACCCGTTAGAATGTGAAATTCAGTCAAAACTGATTTTCACATACAGAGATACGTTAATTGTTACTCACCTGACAAAGAAGACAATACTGAAATTTTCGAATACTAAGTCCATATCTGCTGTTGAATATATTAACTCCTAAACTTCGAAAAAAGGAGTGAAAGTTTGTAGGGTTTCCAACTCTGTCTTTCAAAAATATTTCTTCTGGTAAACAAATGAACTTCATGGAGCGACTACTGACGACATCAACGATGCTGATATTACCGCATCATCTGACAGTCGATAGTCAAAAGAATAGTCATATAAATGATGCCTTGCAAAGCTTTTAAAAGGTTTACAAAAATCAGCTATACTACGGTTACAGATAGTAAATAATACCACAATAAATTTACTTGTTAAATTCAATTTCGCATCATTGGTTAGTAGTCCAAACAGCGAATTTGTATTTGACAGTTCACCTGTATTGCTGTCAATTTCCCGTCGAACAGCTTTGTGTCTTTTGAGTATATGCTCAACTTTAAATAAATGTCTTGCAAATGGTATACGCCTAAAAATCTCCACGCTACAATTAAACGCAAATAATGAGAATGTTGTGAACTGGAATAATGAAGGTAATAAAATAAGAATTCTCAGTGGACTAACTTGATTTTATGTTCCTTCACTTCACACGTAAACTATTTCCCAACAACCTAGTCAACTTTCCTAGTTGGTTTATGAGACTTTGATGCAGTGGTCTTGTGATGGCTATCTATTTGTCAAACAACATTTTCACTAGTTTCAGTTCTCACGTTTGCCGCCTAACAGTTTTGGAGTGAAGCTCAGCAAAGATAGTTCACTGTTAATAGCAGTAATATTTTCATGTTGGTAGTCCGTGTAGTTTAACAAATGAAACTGTAACTGGATATAATCCAGCAGCCTATGTATATCTGATTGACTGTCTGTCAGGTTTAGAAAGAGCACTTGTCTGCTAACTACATTTCATCCCTATTTCAATTACTGAACACTTCACTCAATTGTTGTGTTAGTGAGTAACATGTCTGTTTCTATTTTTATGTATCAAAAGTCAAACCATGATCTCACTGTTATAGCTCGATCTGGCCATCTAAATAACGAGTTGTAAATCTCCCTCAACTGAGGTGTCTTGAACATGTGTTGCCGATGCCGAGTCACTGCCTACCTCATAGTGCAATGTTAGCCGAAGTTGGACTGGGTTGGAAGAAGATTCAGGGTGGCCATACCAAGACATGGCTTCAATCCATGAAGTCTCTGATTTTTGGTCTGAGCAGTGTATGAAGGTGAAGACTCCCTTTTTGGAGTCTTCAAGATGATAGGTTTCAATGGTTAGTGACCTTCATTGGCGCGGCCAAAAATCGGTCACAATGGTCCAAATATGTTCACTCTTTGTTATCTTCGAATTCTTGAACATTTTCATCATCCGTCTTCAATTTGCCTCCCCTCCTACACAATTTGCCTACATTGATGTCAGTCTTTTCTGTTGACTTGTTCCTTATCTGCTACTGTGAAGTGTGGAGACTTGAATAGATGCATTCTTGTGTCAGCTTCTACCTTCATTTTGTCCATACACCCGACATCATGTTACTGTCTTTTATTGAGTAGTCGACATTTACTGCATGAAATTAACACGTGGAAATATTAATTGCCATCATCAGTATTCAACAGTATGATACTCGAAACGCGGTCTCTCTGATGAAGTCTCATCCAGGAGACCCTTCTGTTAGGCTAAATATATTTCATGCTAATTAGTCTCAGTGTAAACAAAAGTCTGGTTGATATTATCTCGCGTTCACCATCACTTATCCAAAATCATTCGGAGAGGTTACTGTTTTAATGTATAAATTTGCCTACGTATCTTTTTAGTTAGTCTTGGTAACATATTTTCCATGCTCACAGACAATTAATGATTTCAGAGCTGAAGTTGTGTAGGCTGAAGTTATGTGAAAAACTAGTTCTAAAGAAGTTGTCATTCTTGCTTGTCGACTGATAAATGTTACTTTTCAGATGGAAAGGATGTGTAATTCTGAAGTATTGTTAAGAATACTCTACTTATTAGGTGGGTATTGTTGATTAGAGGTGAGATAAAGGCCAGTATCTAGAATTTTACTTGCACAACCTACCGTCCAATGAGTAACCCTCACCACTGCATTTTGTGAACTAGTTTATATCTAAGTCCAAACATAACTAGGATGTTGGACAACACAAGTGAACAGAAGGATTGGTAAATCGACAATCGAATATCTCTTTTGAATCTCAGTGTGAATAGTTGACATTTAAAAAGGGATATCTGGTTCATAACAGTGATCAATCCATGCTTTCTGAAGTCCTAGAATCCGGGAAATGAGGTTTCATACGGGTAACAATGCAAATACTTACATGACAGCTGTTAAGATGTGAACACATGAACAACTATAACAAGGAATATGTATATAGAACTCACAAAAACCAGGGTAGAAGTTGTCGTGTTTGAAAGAGTTGGTTCTCTAAGTTGTTTGAAGCGATATCCTCTAAAATATTATCCACCTGTTCATCAGTTAGTTGAGATTTTTTACCGAATAAAAACTGCCAGACTATTCGCCAAATTGTACGTCTCATTAGTTGTCTAAAAATATATGTAGGAGGAGGAAGATGAATCCTTTTGTTAAAAAATATGAATAAATTGTCATGGAAAGAAGTGTCACTGTTCTTGTAGAATGTCTTCACCTTTGAAGTGTGAATCGAGTAACCCTCTTGGTGCAGCTTAAATTGATTTCACTAACGAATGTTTCCATGATTCTTGGTGAAGTTACATACCTTGTTCTACCTCGTTTGCCTGCAACACTCGGGGTGACCTATAAACATGCTAAAAATACGCAGTCACTCTTTCAATAAGTAGCGTATTGTTTATTGGAACAAGTTTCAGCTGCAAGAAAGTTAAGAGTAGCTAGATCAAGAAAGTAGTAAAAGCTGAAATCACTAATCGCTGATATAAGCTGTGTATGGAAGTCAAGACTGTGTGATTGGTACCTGGATCTAATGGGAGTCAGCGGTTTGAGTCTTCAGATGACATGGTATCGATGGATTCACTTCACCACCTTCAAAATTCTGTATATCTCAATAAACTTCATTTGTCAGTTCCCTTTCTCGAAATGTTCTTGTTTGTGTGTTCGAATATGTTTTGTTGCTGTTAATTCTGCTGTCAACCTCGCCCAGTTTCCTAGTTCACAAGTTACTAGCCGATCCTAGGTCCGGATAAAGGATGTCTGTTTGTCATTGGTCTGGCAACCATACACCGTAAAACCAATCCAATCGCTAATGAAACTTCAAAGCACACAAAAGGAATGTAAAAAAATAAGAATGAACTTATTCCTTGCTGAGATCGGGGAGACGGAGTGACGCTGGTTGGTGAAAGCCTGCCTTTGGGAAGTTAATTGGTCGATGTGTCTCCTCTCTCTCGATCAAAGCAAAAGTAAGCATAGGGTAGGGATATGGAATGTTCGCACAACGTTTGAAGCTGGATGGCCAGCAAGGCTGCCCAGATTGCAAAAGAGATGAGAAGGTATAGAATAGAAGTGCCAGGAAACTGTGAGGAATCTGTTGATAGAATGGAAGTGGACTCTCCAAACCGTCAACTGGAGAGGAGTCAATAATCTACTCCTATATTGTCACCCACACGACAACCACGAGCACACTGAGTTTTCGAGTGGCTATCATGATGTCCCCCTCCCAAGAGCATCGAACGCTCTCTATCAGGCAGTGGGAACCAATCTCCTCCTCAACGATCAGCATCATGACAGCAAGATGGATTCAGCTCAAAAGGAAGGAAAGTCACAATCATACAGTGCTACACCACGCACCTACAAATAATGCAGATGAAGAGAAGAAGGAGGAATTCTATAGACAACTGCAATCAGTACTGGACAAGACCCCACCTCAGTAGGTGACATCAGAATCCATTCTAATGGGTGGGGTGAAGTGAATGTCAAACTGGGAGTGGACAACACAGGAAGAGAACTCATCATGGGTCGAGAGGCATTCTGTGAAATCAATGAGAATGGAGAAGTGTTTGGAGGTTTCTGCGCATTCAACGATTTGGTGACTGGAGGCAGTGTGTACAAACACAAGGATATTCACAGAGTGACATGAATTTCACCAGATCGACTTCATTTCAATCCGACAAAGTGGAGACCGAGTCAGCCTACTGGACACAAGCTCAGATGAAGAAGGGGAGTAGATTTAGGTTGACACTACTCACTGTCTATTGCAAGGAGCCTACCTTCGAAATCAAGTTGAAAGCCTTCAAAGTAGTTGGTGATAGACCACAGTTCAAGTCGAACACCCAGAAGAGAGACTGAAGGACGAAACTACAAAGGATATCTTGACGTGGTCAGTCATCAGGACAAAGTGAGAGACATTAGGGACATCTCCGAGGAGGAATCCTGCGTGGTAGAACACTGGAACTCTTTGAAAGGGACATGGTATGAAACATTATGAATGAAAAATTTTGAAAAATAATCATGATAGTATCACCTCACGGACGGAACAAATCTTTTAAGAGAACATTGCAAACACTTTTCACCACATTTTATTCTTATAATGTAATTATAATCCCAGGGTGAATGTTATGTGCCTAGAATTTATCAGATTAGTCTACCATTGTATTCTAGAATGATTTTAATGAGTATTTCACCGCAGAATTGTTTGTAACGGACGAATATTTGCTTTTAGCGAGCACTTTTTCTTGCCAAGTCACAGTAATAAACATATAAAGTCAGCGCAGCGTAAGGCCTGTGTGATAGTAATAGTGAAAACTTCTCTCGGCAAATAGCTCATCACCAACTGATTTTGATAGAAAAATTGGGCTTAGTAGATAGATATTGGATTCTAGTTTGCTATCCTACAACAGTGTACTTCCTCAGTATTATTTTGGATGAATTTAAAAGTTTCAACCTGAAACAGGCAAGGCATTTGATTCCAAGTTAATGCATATTTATTACTAGGTAGGAAAGTACTTGATTTCATTTCGTCAAAAGCTCGATGTGCACACCTCTTAGTTACTATAAACTGGGATGAAACAAATGGTCTATACTCTCTTACACATGTCGCTTCCTCAGATGATATCTGCTTATCTCAAGAGTAAAAAATAATGCAGTTTGTAAATGTAAGTGCATTTGGTTACTGAAGTACTTACAAAACATCAACTGGTTTTCCTTCTTTTATACTTATCTCATTGATTAAAGCATCAATTTCAGGGTTGATAACACTTTTTGGAAGACCAATGTGAAATTTACCATCCTCACAGTCATATGGTTTTAAAAAGTCGTTGATGTGACGCACAAAAGCTCTCCTTGTCTCCGTTGCTCTTGGCGTGTCGTAATTTGATATGCCTGTATAAACAAATGGGATTACACTACTAATTGTATAGTGATGAAACATTTAAATTACTAAATCTCGTTACTTATGTGGTTACAGTTTTATACTGCATCTTTAAGTAGATCATTCTTTTCCCATCTGTAGCATAAAAGATAATAACCAGTGATCAGCTTGTCTTGTTTTCGTGATAGTTTCACACATTAGATTAATATTTCTGATAACGTTTTGCACCACCACTGGACATTTATTCTAATACGTTTCATCTACTCTGCTTAAATATCTACTCAATCAAAGCGAATAATGCATTTATGCTGCTGCATGATTGCTCTCAGTGAAACACCCTTCACGCTTGCTAAGACGTTTACAACTTTCTACATATATCAGAGTAAACTATATTAGACTTACTTAACTCATCGTTTGAGAGCCAATCGGATGACATTTCATTATCCCATCAATGGATACGCTTCACTTTACTAACTGTTCCTTGATCAAACATATGTTAACTATACGGATTCGCTAAAATGTTGTTTTCTGTTAACGGATTGCAGATATGTTTACGAATTTAAGCGTTTGCAACATATTATTCCAAGTGGGATGAGAAATGGGTTCTGACTTTCACTAGTCAGTGGCATTAAATGGTAACACTACACTCTTCATAGGTTGAAACAATAGGATATTTTCGCAAACCACCTAATTATTTTCAACTGTCCATCATCAAATATAGCATCTATATTCTATGGATTACAGCTCAGTAATGACTGGATCATTGTCACTGTCTACTGATTCTAATCCATTTTAACACTGAAACAAAGCATTATTCCCTAGGCTTACTGAATTGCATGATGAACTGAACTCTGTCTGTGCACCAGGTAATCATTTTGCAGAATAACCATTGTGATTAGATACCGTCTCCAATCTCCTTCATGTCCTTCCATTTGAATACATAAAGTATCAAAATACATTCTCACCCACTTTTTGTTCCAGAGTTATTTCTTCTGGAAAAAGAAAATGGGTAGAAAAACAGAGAACAATATGACCTACCTGAATTTTCTGCCAGTAAATCATTTACAACCATAGAATACCGTCCAATCTTTGATCGATTTACAGTCGCTGCTTCATGTATCACATCATAACTGTTTAATATCACAATTGTTTTCCCCATCACGTGAAACGATACAATATCACCATAAGTTTCATTCAGGTGTTGAATTTGACGGAATGCATCAGGACCTATAAACATAGTGTATAGAAAAATGAACAGTTACTTCTCCTTTTCTCACATGACAGGTGAGTGGAACGCCTACTAACTGAAGTGAAATCAAGGAGCAGTTAGATCCTGTAAGTCGGCTGATGAACAAGCGGGTTTAAAAGAATACTGCACAAATTTGTGCCTCGAATTAGCTTCCATATCTTAAAGTTCTTACGGCTTTCTTTTTGTACAGAACGAACGCTGACCAAACAAAACCGATACTGTTGACTGGAATGTATGAATGATTCACTTCTGCAGGACACAAAAGCAATTTGACGGAGTATATTCTTCTGTGATCACTAAGTTAGGCAACTCAGCAATCAAAGATCTCGTCTATGGAATCCAGTAATCAATTCACAAGAAATGTGATGGTTTGAAGATCCATGATGTAACAAGAAAATGGGTTGCAAAGTCACTCTGTCTAAGCTAATGATTTTTGTCAAAATCTCCTGGAAAACTTTGTGATTGATTTTACCGACATAAAACACTGAATAGATTTTAATACACAAAGAAAAGGTGTAGGTTGATCATAGAATAGTGACCAGCAAAACTGTCAAGTTCCAGGTGCTGGTTAATTCAATTTCTGGAGTTAACAGTATAGCTCCAAAGATAGGTGGCGCGCTACTACACTGGTTAGTAGTAGGTGTATGCAGTCTGTTGGCAGGAGACTATGAATTAAGGTATCATGTTTGTTGATCGTCATAAGTAACACGTATCTGCAATCGTAGTGAAATTCACTTCCCCGTTGAAATTCAAATCATGTTACACAATTGGTTAGCATACTTTGATAAAGAAATTTCTCAACATAATGTAATCATTTACAGAATGAGATATGGTTTAGAGGCTTAGGGATAATATCCCCAACTTAAGGATTGAGTGGCACAACTGCTGCTAATCTCATTGATGGAAAATGACCTTCTTTAGAGTCTCAGCACTATATTTATCAATAAGGAGTATCAAAAATGAATTAAGTAGGAGTCCAGAAATAAGTATGACTATTGGCGGAGTACTTTAAAACACTAAGTTAACTTATTCAGGCGTATATTATTCGTGAAGATTAGTCTTCATAGCTCCAAAATCTTCTCATACTACTGCCTTAATATTTCTATGGATTGTGCTTTCATAAGATAACCAGATGAAATAGATAATCAAGATTTTATTATTGGCTTCTGTCTAAGTAAATATGATAAGGGTGGTTTTGATTTGTAATGAAGTGTATGGTAAAATCAGGTAAAGCACAAAAAAAATGTTGCAATTGAAACTTTTAGATGTGATCTAACAAAATACCATCATTTGATTGACTTGGTTCGACAGCAGTGATTTTGTAGGACAATTTATTCATGACCCTGTCATGGCCTTTTCTAATCTTCTAATACATAAATATTATTGGCCATCAGGTCAGTGGAAAATCGGACATCTTTGAAAAATCTCATGCTCAAGATCCAACAAAAAAGGATGAACATGAATTTTCACTCGATGCTTCATCTAATACTTGTTTTCTGATGGCTATATTAGAGAAAATAGTTCACAGTAAATAAAAATTTAACTTGGTTACCATGACGGCTGTGCAACAGTCCCCTCAGTTCCATGAAACATTTCAGAAGGACTGACTCCTTTGGGATAACAGCACTATAAATGTATTGCAACACCTTATTTGAATAAGTCTGAACCCTATAAATGTATTCTTGCCGACACTGTTTGAATATGAAAACATCCATGGGGAATTTCCTAATAATAATGCATTGTCATTATAGAGAACATAAGCGTCTGGAGGCTTTATTTACTACTGATTGGAAAAGATCATTCATTTTGTGGCCCAACTAAATGATAATGGTGAGGCTTAGCACTGAGAACAAGTAAATTCAGCTTTATTCGAAAGAACGATATTAGCAAGAGTAACCATATGTGTAGACCAGAATGTAGATGTTCGGTATGAATTTTTTAAAAGAGTCCTGCCTCCTTGTCAGAACATTAGCTATCATCAGTGTAACTGCATAAGGAGGTTTACGCAAAATAAGAGTAAAACTGGAGCACTGTGTTAGAATTTAATCCTGTTTTAGCTGAATTATTAAGTGTATCACAGAGTGGAACAGTATTTTTAACTAGATTACGTTTCGGACATAATTTATTTTCCATGGTTATGTGTCTTGATATGACTATGAACAATAAATAATGCATGAAACGTAATCCAGTAAACAATACTGTTCCACTATGTAGTACGTCCAATAAACCAACCAAAATGAAAGGTTTACGTAACTGGATACAAATGCAGCAATGACCTATCTATCAAGATAAATAGGAAGATGAAGATGCTTCAAATTTGTGCGGATTTTTTTCGATGAGGTCTAGCATGATGGGAAGACATTTCATTGAGAGGCTAATGTAGAAAGACTTTTAAATGCTGACTGGTGGAAGTCACTGCATAAAAAAGGATTTTCAAGAAATATCTGTTGACTTATTGCAATTTATTGTCAAAGATCACAACGTATGACCTCATCTACACAGTCTCTATGGAAAAGCATGCAGCTGAAGAACAAATGAGTTGAAAAGTTGTCAAAGATATTGATAAACATCAGAAGCAGTTCACAGACTATCTATCCATCACGTGAGGGTTATAATTTTGCCCCTTTTCACTCATGTAATCACCAAAAGATAATCAAATAATTTAACTGGTAGTGGCTCGCAGAGAAATCCAGGAGGCGCATCTCGTCCTATTTTGGGACTCATCACCTAGATGAACCTACATCCCGATGATGTTGTTACCACTGAGACTCGAATCTCGTGCCCACCGCTTCTACGATAATCGGTTCAGTTATAAGCCAACAGAGGTTGTTGAATTTGATTCAATATAAGAACGCAGAAATATAAGTAGGTCAATAAAAAGATATTCAGTTCAACATCTTAAATGGTACATTTGAGGTTTGACAGTAGCTAGTGTTTTAAAAAGGATTCTATTCTTCAGCATTCTTTGTTGCGATTTTTACAATTTCTCAAGAAAAATATATCAAATTCGTACTCACTACTAGTGGTCCATTTAATATTCCAAAGTACTGATGGTTCAGTCTTGGATAAACAAGCAAAAATTCTTGTCATAACAATTAAAAATTATCCAAAATTGAAATGAACAGTAATCCACCTACCTAAACAAGCTGTGTATCCGAATACTGGCCAACCAGTTGGTCCTGGAGGTAAACAGTATGAAATTCGCTTGAACAGTAAATACATGATGATACAGCAAAGTATTAACGTTAAAGCGGTAGTAGGATTGACAGCCGTTATCAGGATATTCCACATCGTTAATAACTGAGTATAAACTGAACAGGGAATAGTCTGTATTCAACGAAACACCAAATATGAAAATAAACTTTTAGAATGAACGTGTGAGTCAGTGAAAACTACAGTTTATTAATTATCTACCGATGAACAGATGCATATCACGTAATTCAGCTTTCTTCTGTCACCTAAACAACTCATTTGATCAGGGTTCACAGAATCAATTAATTTTTTGCCAGTTATGACTAACACCGCTCCATTGAACTTGATGTAACTCACCTGGTACTTTCGACAGATGCGAAGGATATGCAAACTGACACTGATAAATTTTATATTTCTGGTGAGTAGGTTACCACACAACTCAAACACTAGCATCATAGAATTCCTAACTAGAGGCTATTTATGCTATTCCCCACCTTCTTTTATATCTGTTCTATCATCTATATTTTGAAAGTCAAGAAGGTGAAGACTGATTTCTCTAGTGATATTTAAATTCTAGATGGTCTGTAGACACTGAAAACACAGCCACTTGGAATTATCTGATTACTGACAAAGGAATGAGACGCTTTGAAATTCAAAAGAGTCCCTTCGAATAATACTCAGATTCACAAAAATCACTTTACCATCTATATAATTATGTTAAAACTCCAGGTAAATATTGTATTCATTATGTTTTTTGCAGTGTGACTTGTTGCTTCGAAATTCGTTAATTTTTCATTGAAGAATTCAACATTTCAATCAATATTTCTAGTTGTTATTCATCGTAGACTGACATCGGTTGGAGGAACAAAGGATACCTGGGAGCACTAACAGGCTGTTTCTTCCTAGTATATCGTGAGCTAACAGAAGTTGGAAATATGGACCACTGGATTCTGACCCAGTGGCTTAATTGCAACTTGCTAGCCACGGAACCTGAAGGTCGCGGGTCCGATCCTTGGTGGGGTCGTGGTGTGCACTGCTGAGGAGTCCCATATTGGGATGAAACGAGTGTCCAGTGCTCCCGAGTTTCTTTTGTTCCTCCAACTGACGTCAGCCTACGATAAGTAACTACTTGAAATATTTCCAAATCACCACAACTCACTCAAAGTTCAACTTTAATCAGTGTTAGATAAAATCCTTTAAACAATGTAAAAGCATGTATCGAACTGTTTAATTAGAGATTAGTTATTTGAAAGCTATTTGTGATAGTGTCACTATTCTTATGAACGAATTCCTCATTACAAAAAGAATTAAAAACAACAAACAGCCTTATATGATGTGAAAAAATGGAAATTATCATTGTTTTTTGAACACATTTCAGTACTTAAAAAACTTGCCTGGTTAACTAGTTCACTAGTTACTAGCTGGTCCTAAGCCCGGGTAAAGAGGGAAGGTTAGGCATAGAGCTAGCAACCCTACCTTGTAAAACCAATCCAACCGATACAGAATCTTCACAGTACAGACAAGATATAAAAATAAAAACAAACTTATTTTTTGCTGGAATTGGAGAGACGAAATGACGCCGGTTGGTGAAAGTCTTCGGGAAGCCGATTGGCCGATGTGTCCTCTATCGATGAAAGCGAAAGTAAACATGGGGACGTGGAATGTCCGCACTATGTTTAAAACGTGTTACTGAAGCCCTATGTTCTACTAGGAACCCAAGGGACAAATAATAATAATAATCAGTACTTAAAAATCGGTCAGCTCGTTAAAAATTACTTAGATTACATTGTCAACGACTAGTTGAAAATTTATACCGAACATCATTCAAGATATATGATTACTGGATCATTCAATCAACTGGTCTGTAGGCTACCATTTATATTCAAGTCTGCTACTCGGCAATCCGTAGTTTTTGGTTATCTAGCTAAAGAAAATAAGAAGACTATAAAGAAGGGAAGGAATACTGACATTCTAGGAGATTGTTTATCTTAGCATGAGAACTAGATATGATTTTATGGTAAAGTGGGATGGAAGACTGTTTGCAATTCGAAAATCATATTAGTTATTGAGTGCGCATAAAACATTGTCAATGTGGGTAAAGTAATTTATCTGTATTACGCGATATAATTGCACTAAACATTTTGGACATACTGATCACACATTTACTTACCCAGGCACTTTTTCGCATGATAGATGGAAATGGAAGAGGGACATACATGAGTTCGAAGCAACGACAAACTGTTTTTTGACTCGAAACCATTGCCTATCGTTTCAAGTACTACAACACTACACATTAGGCCACTGAATTACAGAAGCCATCTGTTATCCGACAAGTATCAGATGCCTCTTATTTGCACTTGCTGTTTTCCAGTAAATTTAACATGATGTAGTTGATCTGAGCCGTTGAGACAGACACGGCGATGCTGCCTCAAGTTCCACGTAGTCTACCTACTGGTGATCTGTAGTGGACAGCATGTATCGTTTGAGATCAAAGAACCTGGAGCACTTTGGAATAAGTTGAATTTCATATTCAATTATTTAATGTTTGCATAAGATCTTGTTAAAAATTACCAGTGATCATGTTATATGAATATTATGTTAGATGGCTAAAGGCAAATGAAAAGATGCTGCGTTGACTGACGTTTCATACATCCTGATACCATTCAGAAAAGCGAATTTTCACCCTAAGAGGAACTGGTGCTCTGTCGCACATCCTCAAAAGCATACGCTATTACAGTCAGTGTGTAAGACAAATGGTAATGACACACTTTCATGTATCGCGTCTTTCAATAAGACGTCATAATGCAGCTCAATTGACTGTCAAATATAAAGCTTTAAAGATTGTTGAACAAATTAATAATTACCTTTACTGGCAAAATAACAATCAGTGTAAAATAATCATTGACTTACCTTTGAGTAACAGTAATAATATGCAGTCTGGGAAGGTCACAATGTGCAATAAATCAAATCGAAATCTATAAGTAAATCTGTGCTTTACAACTTTCGTACTGATTCTAGAAAGCTTTCGTATAAACACAGAATTAAAATGTAGGATGAACAGAGGGTTTATATTATGTTGTATGGTATTCAGCTGAGGGTCAAATGGTCAGTTTTATGAACACGTAGAAACCACCAATCAAATAGATATTCATATTTTGTTAGTAGGATGTGCAATATCAGTCATATGTGTAGATCACATGAATATACGGAGTTAAGTGTTGTCTGCATTCAGAATTTGGCGTACTTCAGGCAATCATAAGGCTTTCGACACAAAAAATTGGCATTTCAAAGAAAGTGAAAATTCGAATTGAATGCATCAAAACTTTAGTTTCCATCAGCTGACGTTGTTCAGTCATACTAGTTGTGCTTCAATTTTCATATTTTCAGTTCGTTTTGATAATCTGATTTCTGTCTGCCCATTTTCCCAGACATTCACTTGAAAAACGATAAGCCAAGAAAACGACAAACAGCAGAGCTTTAATCTTTCGATAAATGAAAATAATGCCAAATCTTATGAAAGCTTTAAGTTTCTGTGGTTATGTTAGTTTTCTGCAACAGCTCTGACATGCATTCTAACCACTGAGATTGGTTCATCGATGACATTTTAATACCGATGATTGGTGAGCACCTCGTAAGAATTTTAGCATGAAATTGTTGATTTCATGCAAATACTTGACTGTTATCGTTGAAAATCTTTACCACTCTAAAATAACAAAGATAACCATTAATTTCTTCTCATTATTCATCTGTTAGTAAGTTTAGACACTGTTTATACGAATTTTTACAGTACATTTTCCATGTTGCTGTGTATTTGTGTTTGTGGACATGTTCATCTTTCAGTCAAGAAGTAGTGAAGAGGAAACTAAATGGCAATATTTCTCAAACTACTAGCTGGGAAACCTGAAGTATCTTCGTCCTCTCACCTTTCGATTAAGAATTTCATGTCGAGGAAAATGGTGAACTCTTGTACAAAACACGTGTTTCACTTCTTACTTTTTCATGTTCGCAACTAGTCTTCACTGTGTTTGTTGCCTAATACTGCTACTTTCGATTTTAGGATTCCAGATTATATCTTGTTCTGAATCTTCTTTGAAGGATTATGAATCATTTATTGGGTTCGCTGTCATCGTTTTCTTATGACTTCAGTTTCTCAAGTTATCTGGTTGATACTTTGCAACAGATCACTGTTGACAATGCTACTGGGATAGCTTATCTAAATGATTTTTACGTACATAACAATCCGGGACATCTGTCATAATAGTAATTTCATCGACTCCCAAGGTTTTGACTTCATTGAGGTATGATAGACCTGAAATCATTCCTGCAGGTCTTGATCTTAATCCATGTTATTGACATTTTACACTTTACATTGATTCAAAACTATAGCAATGTGAAATTTAACTGACTAATCTTAATGACGTCATCAGTGATTGAGCTTCATACCTGTCAGCTAGACTGTTCAACTCTTTTATCCACTTTGAATCAGTATTTGTTGTCGTAATCTTGCAAAAAACATTTCCTTCATTGGTTATGGGAGTGACTTCGAGATGGTGTTTACTGAAATTCTGATCACTGCATGATATATCATCGAGAGAATATGGATCACCAAATAGTACAAAATGTGTCTGTTAGATTGGTTTCGGTTATATTTCCATCATACGATCATTCTCCAAGTGACAAATCAGTAATAAAAGCAAATATGCTTTCCGGGTCGAGGTCTACCTGACTTAAGAATACAGCAGTTGGAGACTTTTGGTGATGTGGCTCAGAATCGATCACGGTGGTGCAGATGCATCCACACATTATCTTCATCTTAATCATCCTAGTGAATTCCACTATTGTTTCATTGCACCTTGCTCGCTTCCGACGATTTACTGCTACCTTCGACTTTCTTTGTCTTTCATTTTGCTACACTGTCGCTTGACTTGCTGATATGAGCACTGGCAACTTGGACCGTCACTCAATAATGCAAGCACTTAAGTTGACATTATCTATCTTTATCTACATTGACAAAACAGCGGAAGCACTTATTAAACAAACTTGAAACACATTATATTCCGGTTTTATCATCCATATAATATGTCAACGAATGCATCAAGTCCATGAAAGCCTTCACTTCTATTCGTTTTAACCTTGATTTCAATCTTGTGTTTAAGATTAGACGTGACTGGGACTTCAAGACAAACACAGATTTCATGAGTGAGCAAATCTTCAGTCATTACATTAGTGTACGTGCAGAAAATACAGGTAAGTTGTCTTATTTTCAATGCTACGTGGTCATCGCTGCAGAAAATACCCCACACTTAGTAACCTCTATATCCTTGATTAAGTTGGTTAGAACTGAACTGACAAGACAGTATTGACCAAAGTTTCCTCCTTGTCAACGATAATCAGTAAGGTGTGTCTGAAAATTTGACGGAATTCACTGGATTTGGATCGATGAGTACTGAATTCAGAGGCAATGGCCATAATGAAGTTAGGTTGAAGGTTTCCCTACAATTTACTTCGAACACAGAAGAAGATGTGACGCGATATTGAATTACTTAGATTATTAGGCATATAAAACACTTGATGCATAAATGTTAATGAATCCTTCAAACATAAGTATTGTTCTTGCTGCCATCTGGTAGTCGAGTTATAAAACCTAAGCACTTCCTTCCATTGTTAAAAAATGCACCAATATATGGAACCGCAGAACTAGGTAGTTCATATGTTGTGTTGATGGATTCCGGACCATCGACACTCATTTTCAATCAGCTGATGTGAATCTTGCATGCGGTAGGATGGATAATGTTGACATGTGATTTATCCGGTTAGACATTGAACTCTCTATCCTTATTGACCCTTTCAACTGATTGATGATTTACATTTTCATCAATCAAAAATTGACCGATGTCTGATAGATCATCTCGGAATTCATTATTCTGTTATAATTGTGTCCCTTCATCCCATACCAATTAGTATTTTCTTATAGTGTCTGTTAAATAAATTTCGAGTAGAACATGAATTTACACGGTAATGCTAGATATGTTCAGAATGCATGCAGTTCGACTGCATAAATGTCATAAAATTAATTTTGTCTGTTATTCAGGCTTCGTTTAGCCATTACGTGGAATTTAATTATTGATAGTAAATGGGCTATATAATACACATTCGTTTTCTTGTTATAAGTACTCGCACTCTGTAAAATCTATTCGTTACATTTTAGGCAGAATGATGCCTGAAGGAACTTGTGGTGGAAAACAATTTTGTGGAATCGAGTGACTTTATTTCAGGTGGCGTTACGTTCTCGAACCTAATGGGGTGACATGGCTGAGGATCAGTAATTTAACTTCTACACTAATAGACATCTGTGTATGATAAATACTATTGTTTGGTACAGACTATATTTGAGATGATGGGGAATATTTGTAGCACAAGAGAATAATTTTGATGGTTTTGTGTCCACTGAGCTAGATGGTTTAATCGTGAAGCTTTCGTCATCAGTCTAGACAACATCGTCAGTAGAAACTTGAGGAAGAAGTGAGCTGTTAGGTTTTCTCCACAATTTATTTAGTAGCTCGTCCTGACAGTCTTGTGCATGATCGATTGTTTCTGCCAAGTTATCGTCATTGTCTTCACATTCATTTCGATTGGTTGTCCTGCTGACCTGAAATTTGACCTACTTGTTCTCTCTGATCGGTTGATAGGTTGGGTCAACGCCAATACATCTGTTGATTTCTGACTGATGTGAATATCAAGCTTATAAAACTCTCTAGCATTCTTTGTATTTCCTATATCCGGGATCTCCATATTTTCGAAGCCAAATTCATGTCCACAATTGTCCATATGTTTTGATATTAGGGAAAATATGTCATGATGCTTCACTGGTAGTTGATGTTCATGTTGTTCATATTTGCATGATCTAGTTCAAAAGAACGTAAATCACATTTTATGTTCAAATTTTGATTCTGAAGTATTTGGATTCCCAAAAAAAGTCACGGGTTTACTATGATTCAGCCGAAACTTGATTTTCTGACCTTAGTGAAGTACTGGGATTCACTCAGAGTTTAATGCAGACGAATTGAACAAAGAATCGTCAAACTCCATTTTAAGCGCTAAACGATGATAAGTAGACAGGCAAAGCGAGGTGGAAACCACAAAAATACCAAAGTTTATTCCAAACGATGATTTACATAAATTTACATTTGAATCGAGGAAGTCAAACAATTCACCTTAGTGAGGAAAATCACTGGAGGAATTGTGAATGAATGCCAACGATGGCTATTTTGATCAGTCTACTATAATTTCGAGCGGAAAATTTGGAGCTTACTTTCTGAACTCGCAAATTAATAAATAGACGAAGAACGTTAGTCTACAAATCACTCAAAGAGATAAAGACGCAAGTTAGAGTAAATGTCATGAATACGAATAACTAGGAAGGTTGTTGTAAAGATGACTGAGAACTATGTGTAAAGGTTGCCAACTTAGTAATTGTGAATTTCTGATGTAGCAGGCATTCCATACTGTATTCGTTAATATTTCTTACACTGACCTTATAATCCAATACTTGTTCGATCGTCGTGATATAGAACCTACACTTGCCTTGCTATAGGTTTATAATTTGTTGTTTTATCCTCAATACAACCTTCTACTTTATACTTCTGGTTATCTTACGTTTTAAACTGACAGATGCATGTAAATCAGATGTTTTTGGGATAATGGGGAAGGCTTCAGTATTGTGGGGACTTAATATAACGGCTGGAGTCAGATATGGGTCCAACACTGAGATATTAGTAGGTTGATGGAGTTATATTGATGCAAACAAGGTAGACAGGTGTAACACACTCAAGATTTTGCTACACTTCAAGCAAATTTTACTAGTTATCAGTTCCTAGCAGATAGCAATAAAATGCTCATACATGGCAGTAGTGATGTTGTCTCTGATTTAGAATGGGGAACCTATATCTTGACAACTGTGTCAAGAGAAACATACTGATTAGTGTATGCTAGTCATCCACTTCAACAAGATAGCTAGATGTATCTGCCTAAATGCTACTTTG